TCCATTTCCCAGATCTCGTTTTGCACCAACTCACTTCTTCCCAGCCCTCTTTCCTCACAATGCTTACTGTCTGCCTTTACACCTCAGTGAGCATCCCTGCAAGACACTGCAGCATGCTTTGCAGAAGTCACTGCTTCAGGCTGGCTCTACCATAGAGATCTGTACACTATGCTCAACTACATGCACGGACATAATCCAGGATGACCAAGGGAACAAAAAGAAAAATCTGTCCCATCCTAGAAATTGACATATTTAGCCCAACAAAACAAAGCCTGAAGTGATATGAGTGTTCTTAATCTGTAAAACAGGAAAATCCAGGACGACAGAAAACATTTACCTATTACCAAATTATACTGCTAAAATTATTACAAGGAATTTTAAAATAATTGGAAAAAAACCTTTTCCCCAATCCCAGTTTGTCCTACATTCCACATCTGTTTTAGCTAACACTTTTAATTACAAGGTCTAAATGCTGCGAAGATGGACTTCATCATCATGGTTCAAGTCTGACAAGTTCTGAGCATCTGACAGGAGTAACTAACAGGAGGCACCAGCTAAGTCTGTGGGGAACACTTGCAAGAACTGAGTACCCTTGCTAGAAATGTAGCAGCAAGGGCATTTAAACTTTTGGACACTTGCTTGCCTTTCTGCTTTCTTGACTCAAAATAAGTCACCTCTGAATAGAAGATATTTTCATGCATTTAAAAAAATCACTAGGTGAGTTATCAAAGTATACAGCTGATTTCCGACAGTGGTTAAAAAAGGATTACACTATAGTAGCTGGAGACTGCAGGACTAACACAGGACCTCTGGGGAAGCTAGTATTACTGGTTATTACCTGGTATTACCTATAACTGGGCAGGACTGTTTGAAGCTGTTAAAAATAATTTAACAGAACCCCACTTTAACTGACAAAGCATTTATTTTCTCTCTAACTTAATAATTCTCAAATACTATGTGCTGGAATGTGATTGTGGCTAGAGTGTAGTTCAAGATGGAGTTGGCAGGACAGAAATATGCCCTGTCACGTTTTATTTTCAAAAGAAATGTCTTTTATCAAATCCTGGTAAGGAAAGCAGTACCATTTAAAGTGTGACACAAAAACTGTAAATGGAATAACAAGAAATTCTAGGCCAAAATTATAAAACAAATAACAATTTTAAAAATTGCACTGCCTCTTGTTGTGCCTAATGCCTTATGTGCATTTATGCACGTAAGAACATGTATCAACTATATTAATATAATGAAAAAGTTAAATATTCCATCACTATAAAATAATCCACACATTTTGTTGTGCTTAGGAGGAAGATTACCACATACCAAATATTTTAATCTCCTATAAATCTACAAAAATAAAATGAGTCATTTATCCCCTCAAATTGATAGGAATACAATCTGAAGCATAAACTTGATTGCTTTTCAATAGGAAGCCAACTATCAGTTTCCTTTTGATTACCAAAATCTTTATGTTTTCACACACTTGCATTAGTAACATTTTGAAAAGTTCTCTCAAATTCAGAATTAGTTACATTAATTAGCTGGATTCCAATAAAATGCAGTAATTCCTCTCTTTGCTAGCACATAACTCCCTTCATTATGCAAAAGACCTAAAACTACTTCTTTCAAGAAAAATAAAATGGCTGATCTAAGGATTCATATTGTCAAGCCTTGACTCCTTTTACAAAATGTAGTATCACACTTAAGACTGCTAAATGACTTAGAAACAATACCATAAACCACATCCTTCAAAACATCAAACAAAAAGCATGCACAATTGGTTCATATTTACACATCTGCCCCGTTAAGTTTGTAATCTTCAGTACTGGAACATGACCATGTCCAGACAGCTTATGAACTTGTCCAAGGTGGGAGAGTCAGTCACTTTCAGCTTGTCTTTTTTTTTCTTTAATGCTGCTTTTGTTTTGGTTTTTTGTTTGCTTGTATAATGAAAGTGTGGGGCTTGCTCTGTCTCATGAGAAGAACTGTTCTAATGAAGATATCAGTGTGAAATTGTTACTGCTTAAGTTGTCATCACCAATACAGGATATATCATTTGTAAAAACAATGATTTACAATTAAATAAGAGAAATATTGCAAGCCTGACTACATTTCCACAGTTTGCACATTCACATTGCAAAGTTTACGTGGGTGTGCTCTTGCAAATTGATTGTAGAATTCAAGGAATTTCTGCCTTTACAGAAATAAAGTTCTGCCTGTTCACATTTAAATATTACTGTTTAATTACCCTATTAGGTAATTCAGAAAAAAGAGCAAACAGCTTTTGTAAAAGCTAAATAAGAGAGGGCTAATTTATCTCACTCTTTCTCTCACAAGTTTGACAAAAGCAAACCAAAACAAATCTTTCTTTGTTTGCAATAAATTAATATATTATGCAGCTCATAATATAAATTAGATTTGTTTGGAAGCTGTATTTTAGACCTGGGAAACTTGAAATTAAAATATAGTCAATTGTTTTTTCCTAAGAAAAAGTGCATCATTCATTGTGAAGTAATAGAAATATTTACAAGAGACCATTTGGCAGGATGTGGGTAGTGAAGCATCAGTGGGGGCAAAATGAAACAAAGAAACAGAAGAAGCTGCTCTTGAGAAGGGTTTTAATTCCGAAATCTCAAACAGTACTAAAAAGCCCTGACATTTATGCTTTTTTTTTTTTTTAACAAAGAAAAAGTTAATGCAGTAAAAAATTAGAAGATCATGGTAATGAAAGGCTAATGGGAAAAGGATAATTATGACTTAGATCACCTGGTCAAGAAGCCTCCACAGGTTCAATAATTATGAAATCATTTAACCTTTTAGGACCCCTCCAGTCTTAACCTTTTAAGATTCCCTAAAAATTGCTTGGTTCAAAAATAACTAGTGAACATTACCTGCCTTTTAAAATAACTCCCCAAGTTCGTCTTTGTACCTGAGAACATATTTGTCAGAAGGTGGTTCAATATGCCTTAAAGACAGAAAGGCAAAAAAGTAGAGACACCTAGTACTAAAGAAACACCAACAGGAGCTTACCCACCACCTCTGGGCTCCCTACTCAGAGACAGACAAAAATATTCAGAGGGCAAACTACCTGGCAGTAACTCCTCCTCCCTCTCTCTTCACAGACAGTAAGGTCAATGTAACAATTGCAGGAGTACTTATAGAAGTGTTTTGTTTCAGATTAATAATGTGCTTTGATGCAAATCTCTGATTGCTCCCACTTAAAATGCTTTGGTTTGCATCATGCAATAGTCTCGGACTACGTAAACTAGGTTCCTTTCTGATTAAGCTCGACAATGGACTCCAAGGGAGCACCTGAAGTCCTCCAAACAACAGAGCTACTCTGAAGTAAAACAAAATTAATATAATGTGGATATTGGGTCCCCAGCACTATTAACTCAAGATATCCGCTCCTATTGGTGTGACGCGACTTGCCAATGTAGATGAAGCTTATAGGATCTGGTAAGCGGACCTGGTGGTGTAACTAGTATTGGTATATCAATACCTATCATTCACATTACAGTAACTGTAGCATTTTTTATAGAATAAGCAGCATCAGTTTACCTAGGATTCTTGCAGGAAATAGAACTTTGAATTTCCTGAGAATAATGCATTTAAAAAAATCTCAGACATAATTTACAGTGACAATTTCAGGCACTTAGAAGAAAAGATTTATAGACTGTAGATCCAGACAGGACAGACCATCTGTTCTTACCCTCTATACCACAAAAGCCATGAAATATCACCAATTATGTGATGGGATGCAGATATGCATGGATTTATATTAAATGTTTCATTTTACGATACTGCAACAACATAAGGTAGCACACTACACATCTGCAACACACAGCTTTTGTCTTATGTTATTCTCATCATTTGGGTTTTTTGGGTGGGGGTTTCTTTTTTTGGGGGGGGTGGGTGGGTGGGTGTTTTTGTTTGGCTTTTTTTTTTTTTTTAAATACTGCTCCTTACTACATTTTAAAAAGAAACTGGTTTTGCATGATCTGTTAGCCTCCCTCAAAAATATCATAATTATTTCTTTATTCTGGAAAATTTTCTGTCCCAACACTGTAGAACTTTGCAAACACACTCTAAATTAAGGACAAAATTATTTGTATCAAACCAGCACACAGCTACTTCTATAAGAAATAAAAAAAAAAAAACAGTATCTTTTTTTATTTGAGGGCTCATTATGAATTATTTTCTAACAGACTTTTGTGAACATGTCTGAATTAAAAAGTTCACTCACTCTGTTTCCACACTAACTAGCAGAAAACTATTACACTATATATGTTACATTATTTACATGTATATAGCCTATAGGCAGAGGGTGCTCTAACATGGGGGAAGAGTCTTCCTTTGCATCATATCACGTAGTGAAGACAGCACCATGGCACACAGCTGCAGTTAAAGATACACTCCAGCTACTGCAGAGCATCCCTGCCTTTTTGCTGTCTTATTAAGAAAAAAAAAAAGCTTCAGCCACCATTTGGGGTCAAGGGGCCAGAGGAAAGCATGAATGAGCACACATGATTTGCTGCACCTGATGCAGGAGAGAAGGAGACAGGGAAAACAAGATACTAGAAGTTTATTAGCAGGCATGTATAAAACTCAACCTCAATATCAACTGGAAATTCACAGTACCTTCATCTTTAAACTATGGTGAGCTACGCTGTTGCAATACAGTACCCAGAATGTAGTATGTGCAGTTATGTCAACATAATTAGACTGCATAAAGCCACACGTCAATATAGTATATAACAAAACGCTTTGAGCTAGGCAGGTCTTCCACAAACTCAGCAACAAAACCGCACAGGAAGCATTTGTTAAAAACAACAAAGTAGAGGGAATACTGGAGATAAATAACAACCACCTTTTTCTTGCCTACTTTCAGGTTACATAAGGATATTCAGCTATCTTGGTATTTGTGTACTTTCATTCTCTCACACACAATTCAGAGGATGTGGTTTACAAGTTTAGCATATTAATGTCGTCCATTTTCCTACCAGTGCTATCTCTCCTAATCCAAGCTGGGCACGTCCCAAAGTCTGCCAGGCGTCCCAGGAACGTGGGTTTCTCTGGACAGCCATTTCTGCTGCGTGCACTGCTGGGAACATTTCATGTAAAGACATCAGCACCTATGACAGAAAAAGAAAAATAAGGGAATAAGAATAAGCAAAATTGAAAACAGATTTAAGTTTTCTGGGACTACCCAGGCAACAACCACTGTTTCAATAACTAAGGACAGGTTCATCTCATCTAGCTTTTTCTAATTTAAAAGTTAGTTGTCTGATCTCAGTCACCCAGACTCATTCCACAGCCCACAGAGGGAAACAGGCACGCTAGAGGTTGATTCATCTGAACTATTTAAGCAACTCTATTATAAGTAGATTAATTGCTTCTGAAGGCATCCTGCCCTCTGCCTTCCTCCCTACAAACCCCACACTCCGTAAAAGCATATCAGAATACACTGAAGGGCAAACACATTGAGAATTAAAACACAATAAATAAGCAAGTATTGTTGAAAAACTCCTGTGTTGTATTTTTTCTTTTTAATAGCAGACTGGAATCTACCAAATACAGTTGCAGTGCACCTGACACAATTACAGAAACAATCTCTGTAATTCAGCATGGAAACAGCTCTTAACAATGACTGTTGTGTTTGGAGAGGAAGCATTCTGCAATCACAAAGCCTAACTTAGACATGAGGTCACCTACATTAAAAAAAATGTAGTGGTTTCCAAATGTGGAAATCTCTTTTACTCAGCAGTACAGGTTCGTGTCAGCCTGTTACCACAGTTATTCTACTCCTTGCATTGAATCTCCATAACTAAGCCTATAAATCATAAGTTAACGATACATAACATGGCTCAAAGCTTGCCGTATTTTTCCAAGACCACCATGAGACTGGCGTATTACCTGAAGACCTGCATCACTCTGAGATCATGATTTCAGACACCCACATGCTATGGTGATAGATACCAATATAAGAAACAAATGACAACTGCATTCCTACAGTATGATGAGAATGTCAACCACAAGAGTAAGACTCATGTGTGGGCAGCCACTTTCATCCCAACTGACCCGCAAGCATGATGAATAATATTAGAACATATTAGCACTATTGCTGAAGTACAAAAAGCATTTATTTAACCCTACTGTTCTATGATATATTAAATAGATAAATATGAGTGTGGAGTAGAGAAGGATTCAAATGCAATAATCTTGAGTATTTACTTTAATTAATATAAAGTACTTGCACAGCACTGGGGTGAGTACAGTAAAAAAAAAAAGCTTTACTACAGCAAGTAATCCTGTACCCAAGAAACACAGCAAGCATAGCTTCCAATAAACCCTTTGATCCATATTCCTCCTGTTTTAATAAGACTAAGTTTTTCTGAAGACTAGTCCTATGGCTTCTCTTTAATTCCATTTAACAGGCTGGAATTCAGATGTACCCAAAAATCTTTAAAAAACAACCCACAGCTGTATGTCATGTCATTTACCCTTCTTTCTTCAACAGTTCTCAATGACTGTAGTTTGTAAGCAAAGTTTGTAATGAGTACTATGTATTTTTCCAAAACTTTCAGTTCAACTGCATTTTGGTGTGAAGTTTCTCTTACCTGCAGCAGATATGTGAATTGAATCAAACTGTTACCATTGGATAGGTGTACATCCTACAAAGATTCAGTGATTCTGCATCTATCAACTATTTTTTACATTAATCTGTTAATGTGTTTGTTCTCGTAAGAGAAAACAAATCCAAGTATACACTCACCTGAACATTTTTATGCATACCAAGTATTCAGTATTTCCTACCAGTACTTTGTACTGCAACACAACTCCAAAACATCTACATAAGGATTTAGGAAATCTTCTGTAGTTTTTTATGAATTTTACTGCTTTGTTTACTGAATTGTGACCTCACTAATAAAAGACAATTATTCCACTTGCAACTATTGATGACTGTTGTGCGCACTAATTTAGATAGCTGCTTTAAAAATGCTCTTCCAGGTCATGGCGGTAATTACTGTGCTCCTACTATGGCATCAGTTTCTCAAAGTACATTCAAACAAATACAAATTTGAATGTATATGCATTTTGTCCAGCACAGGTGGTTTTTTCAGTTATTAATAAAATGTCTCAGCTATACTTGTCAGTCATTATAAAAGAATAAACTTACTAATGCACACTATTTTCCTACACTTCTGCTTTCAGGCGAAGGGATCACCAAAATGAACATATGATGACAGACCTGAATTTGTGCAGCCTTGCCTTGGGTTACTCTACCTGTGACATTATTATCACTTTAATAAAATAGCTCTGCATGCTAGATAGCCCTGCTACTTGAAAACTGAACCAGCAAACACTCAGTCTACATCTGGAAAGTCATGCTGAAAAAGAAATTTAAAAAAAACACTAGCATAAAGTTTTCTTCTGCACAGATTTGACAAGAGGAGCTCAGTCCTTCTCCTGGGGCAGGCCACATGCACAAGACAAAACCAGACAGGAAACACGTGTGCTGTAGCCCCACTGTTATACAATATGCCTGTCACATGCTCAACGTGCAGCCACATCAAGCACCAAATCTATGTGTATATACATCATACCCCAATAACACACAGTCTAGTCTGCTCTCCATTTCACTAATATGGTAAGTACCTAAAGGGTTACTGTTACTCCTTACACATATGCCCCTTAGACAGTGTGTCCAAAAAGGGGGAAACCAGGTAGTAGATCATGGGAATTACACTGGTAACCTTCATCGAAACATAGATTTCTCATCCTGAACTAGCTTAACATATCACTCTAACAAAAAAACACAATCATATTTCTAATTCCATAGACAGCCTTTCATGCACAACATATACCTCAGTAGTTACACATACTTGCCTAATATAATAATCTTGAGTTCTGCATGACAATACAAGATGTGAGGCTTATTTTCAAGGATGCAGCTACTCTGAAATACTACTTTCATTGCGTTTCAGATCTTCTTGCATAACTCATCGCTAGTTTAAACATACCTAAAACTGAACGCCTTGCCTCCTTCCCAAACCACCTTACTTTCTTTTATCTGTAGTGCTGTCATTACCATGACAGTATCATTTTTCATGTTCTCTTCCTTCACATAGATTTATTCTACTTTTATGCCTTGCATATCAGCAAGGTTATTTTTCTATCTGCAAAACTCTTAATTGTCTTGATTATGCTTCCTTTATTGTTGGTTTCCTTGATCCCTACATATCACACCACAATGGACCAAAGTCCATTTGACTTAAAAAATTAGCCGCTCAATGAATGTCCGGTTCAAAGTCTTGCTCCCGCTTTCTACTGTATACAACTCGATTTTCTCCTTTCGTTTTAAGAATCTATATTATTTGTTTCCTTTTATTTACCTCTTTTTGAATAAGTTAATCTTATTTTACTTGCTCCAACATGCACCAGCGTAATGGTCTATTTTTCTGCTTCTTAGAAAGATGCCCGCAGGTCTTCTTTCATTTCAGCCCATATGCTTGAAATACTCGAGCTGATCAGAAAACTATTATCTTTTCATTCAGATGTGTGACTGAAACATGAACCTGGAAGCCAGCAGCAGTCCCTACACCCAATCTCAGCAGAATGCTTGCTGCTACTCTCACCTTTGCTCCACTTTTTCTCATTGTCACAGTCATTTATTTTCTTTATAAGTTTGTTTACACTTAGACATTTAACTTCAGTAACAGTTTTGAAATAGTTATTCTGTAGAAAGTAGAATAAATAGAACACATCCTGAAGGGCTCCCTCCAAAATAAGCATATTCTTTGATTTGGTTGAATTCCTTTCAAAAGAGTAAAGTGAAGTCCTCTGTGTGGGGAGTGCTTCTTGTTGGGAGCTCTACTGTACTTAATACAACAAACTCTTGACTCTCTTTTAATCCTTTATAGACTACTTCAGTACCATTGACTCTAAAATGCAAGCCATCATCAGCATCAATCCAGACCTGCATACAATTACATTACTTCATCAGTAACTTTGGGCAATCTTTTGATTCAAGTTACATTCACACCAATTTCAATGTGGTTTTGGTGGGGCTTTTTTGACAGCAGAGATAATTGTCACCCTCTGCTAGTTACTTCCTGCAAAACATTCAGATTACTAGTAAAAACAGGAACAAGCAAGGACTATTCTAAAAAGGTCACAAACCATTATAATAGAGTACCCGGATATAACATTTATTTTTTAAACAGATGGTTACTTTTTAGAGAAACTAATTCAGTTGCATTGGGGTATTTTTCAATGACTAGACAAATAGCATGAATGCTTCATAGAGGAACTATGTATCACTGAAAACTCCATTTAAATCCCTCTTCCTCAATGTTTTAGCATCAACTTAGAGTCTTCAGATGGCCATGCATTCAGAAAAACGCACAAATATAAGCTTGTCTTTTGAGAGTATGAAGATATTAAGCTTTTACTTATCAAAATTATGCTGGGGAAGACCTTCATAAAAGAGACAATCCTACCAGCAAAACAGGTCTTTAATCTATTTTGAAGCAAGCTATGACAGAAAATGGCTATTTTGCCAGACTTACTTAAGCTGAAGATGAGGATGTGTGTGTTTGCTTATGAACAGCTTTTTAAGACCTGACACACTAAGATTCTATTCCTTTCCTGTTGCTCTCAAATTAATTTCTCAGATGAATTTTCTTTTGCAAACTTCATTAGCAGGATAGCACTCAAGTTTCACAGTTAAGTAATCTCATTGCATATTTGATTTATTTTCCAGTTACAGTGATAACACTTCATTAGAAAACATTCTTTAAACTAATCAAACAAGTAAAAAAAAAATCGTACAAAACAGAAAAAACCATCTCAAGACTCTCATGCACATATATATTAAAAATGACTACACATATATATTAAAAACGACTAGAGGGAAATGTCTTATAAAGATGTTCAGTAGGTGGATTTTCAGAACTTATTTTATTCCAACATAGACTTACCATTATCACATGCATTAAAAGAAAGAACATCCATGTCACTACAATGACTTGGTTTAACAGATCTAGCTTTAAAAAAATATATATATATATATGAGACAGATTAGAAGAATGAGAAGAACTCTGTGGCAAAAAACACAGCAACTGTCATCGGG